CTTTAAGACCATGGAACTCTGAACTTGTAATGGCAACGTATGACAAGGTAATTGAACTGTGTGTGTGTGTGTGTGTGTGTGTGTGTGTTGCTCATTAAGAAAATGGGTTGCTGGTTTAATTTGGAGATGCATGTGATAGTTGAGGAGTGAATGGAAAATGAATGAAAATCTTTCGGTATAATTGAAATTCTAGCATGCATGTCCTTTTCCTTAAGCTAATTGTTTCAATTTCTTGAAATTTTGGTTGACCTGGTTGCTTTAAAAATCCGCCTACATGAGAAATGAATTAATATTGTTTTGCTAGAAAAGTGATGTAAGCAAACTTAACACATGTTAAAAAAAGGCCGAATTTCTTTTAAGTTTTACATGTTCATACAATTTGATTGAGTAACTTTCCAATATACTATGGAATCATAAGTTGCATATCAATATTTAGTTCATTAGTTTACAATCTTTTTTTTTTTTTTTTTGGTTTATCTTGTTGAATATAATGTGTAATTGAGTTTTGAGTTTGACACATATTAGAAAAGGTCGAACCATTCCTTAAGCTTGCATGTTTAGTTCTAATTTCGGTGAAATACTTTGATTCTGAAAATTTTGGTTCAATATTGTGATGAATATGTCCTGCATGTGCCGGCTAAATTGATTCTTGGATATTGCACTAGCTTTGCTTTTAAGAAATGTGATTACATGCTGCATGTTATATATATAGTTTTCATGTGGATTCAACTAATGGTGAAAAGGCTTATTTTTAGTTGAAATTGTTCCATAGGATGAAGTTAAGTTTTGGCTGAACCGGGAGACAATTTTGTTAATTGCAAAGGGTTGTTGAAATTCATTATATATGCTTGTAATTGGTTGGACAATACATTGGAACATGTTTGAATTCAATTTTTTTTTATTACAATGTTGTGTTGGATACTAGAGTTGCTTACAGTCGAATTGGAATACCTTTGGAAAATTAGTTGATTTGAGTTTTCTTTAAAAAAAAAACGTTTGAAATTAAAGGTGTTCCTTAAACTAACTAGTTTTTTCTTCTTCTTTGTCATTGTCCTAAGTGGTTTGTGGAAATTTTAGAAATTTTACTCTGTTTGTGTATTGATTAGCTCTCATGGTGGCTCAACCCTACACTTTTTATTTCTTCATCATTTTCATTGTCCCAAGTTCTTTGTGGACTAATCTGTTTGGGTCTTGACATTGATTAGTTTATAATTTGGTTGAAGGTTATTGTAAAATTCTATTTCAGGTCATAGCAATTCCAGAGATGAGGGTTCAACATCTTGGAGATCCTTAACTTTTTTGCATTACAGGAAGCAACAATGTACCATCTTGGTCACCAAGGACAACTCTCATACTGATCAAATTTTGCTCTATGTATATTTAATCAAAATTATGACAATGACAATGATGTTTTTCCCCCAACTTTTTGTTATATCCCTTTTCAAAACTGTTTATTTTAATTGTGCATTATTAAAGAGATTTGTATTGAATTCTCAAATTTCATTTGCGTTCTATTGAGTAAAATACATTGTGATTTTGCAATCTGGATTGTTATTGGATTTAAATTGACAGAATTAATGTAATATAATATAAATATTATCTTAGTTTGCAACACTTGCAGGGACAAAATAGTAATTTCATTTGTCAAAATTTCAAATTCTCAACGGTTATTCATTACAAACATTAGGGGTAAATTCACCATTTAATTTTCACACATTGTTGGGGATATGACAGTAATTTCATAATTAAAAAGTGGGGTATATAGGTAATTGATTTTATTGACTTGACATATAATAATAATAAAACTTTAAAATCAAACGGTTAAGGGTATTTTCGTCTTTACAGTGAATGTCATTGTTTTTAACAGAATCTATTAACGAAATATGTTGTTTGGGTATTAATGTGGTATCTTAAAAGTCTGAGAGTAAGAAAGTGTAATTACACCATTTTTCGAGTGGGAAAAAGTCATTAACTCGTTTGTTAAACTCGAAACCTCTTCAAAAACTGGACTCTGTCGCTCAAATACACACCATAGCCAATCAAGTAAAGAACTGTTCCAGTGTAAAAGAACTAGAATGTGTTTATGCCACCATGCTCAAGACCAACGCAAGCCAAGACTGTTTCCTCATAAACCAATTTATCGGCTGTTGTACTTCTATGTTTCACCGAACAGATCTTGCAGTTTTAGCCTTTACCCAAATACAGAAACCCAATGTTTTTGTGTACAATGCAGTTATCAGGGGCTTTGTTCATTGTGGCTACCCACTTCAAGCTCTAGAAGTTTATGTTCATATGTTAAAGGCTAAAGTTTTTCCCATAAGTTATACTTTTCCATCATTGATAAAAGCTTGTACGTCGTTGTTGGGTTTCTATATTGGAGAAGCTGTGCATGGGCAAATTTGGAAGAATGGGTTTGATTCTCATGTGTTTGTCCAGACTATGATTGATTTTTACTCGAATTCGAATAAAATCTCTGATTCGAGAAGAGTATTTGATGAAATGTCTGAGAGAGATGTTTCGCATGGACTACGATGGTTTCAGCTCATCTGCAGGTTGGGGATTTGTGCTCTGTAAGGAGATTGTTTGATGAGATGTCTAAAAGGAACATTCCCACGTGGAATACAATGATTGATGGGTATGCAAGACTGGGAAATGTGGGGGCTACTGAATTGCTATTTAATGAAATGCCTGCGAGGGATAGAATTTCATGGATGATTATGATCACTTGTTATTCTCAAAACAAACAGTTTAGAGAAGCTTTAGATGTGTTTAATACGATGAAAAAGAGTGGGATTAGTCCTGACTCTTTTTAGGGAAGAAGATGAACTGTTTAAGGATAGATTGATCTTGGTGAAGAGAATTACAGCTTTGATACCAACTGTTGGATTACAAGCTGAAGAATACAAAGAAAAAAATGCACTAAAAAGTTCTTCTTTTTTCATTAATTCAAACAACACGCCTATTCTACAGAGCATTAAATGTCATCCCTAGGTTTTAGATATATTTAACACGCTAAGCCACATTTACACGTTGTCAGGATATTGAGTCAAACATTCTTAACTAGTTTGACATCTAGCAGTCTTATCCATAATAACAGCTGAACCCTATAAGGAAATCGACCGTCCTCTGACATTCAACAATGATAGCTCTGACCTTCCTTCTGACATGTCACTGCATGCTTCTGATCACAATCTCGTTAGGTCGCTTGGACACTTTCCTATATTACAACACACGCTTAGAGAACGTTTGCTTCACATTGTAGCATTACTCATCTAGCTCATCTGGTTGCCAGTTTCAAGTCGCAAGCCTATCAGGTTGCCCGTCACATGTTTCCAAAAAGATATCATTCACGTTAACATAAGTAAAATTCCTTATTTATGAGACACATATCTCCCAACTGCCACCATACTTGGTTTTGTGGATAGTATTCAAGGCTTTATTAGCCTTCATTTGATGCTAAGGATGCATCAAGAAATTCAGGAACAACAGTTATATCAAACATAAGCAATAATATGTCATTATACCAGTATCTGGTGAAATTCATAAAAAGTTATCATAGTTTCATATTTGAAATCACGAATATGTAACCCAGTTTTATGTAGGTTGAGAGCTAATCAGTGAGTCAATGAAGTAGATGGGGGGGCCAGGCGCAATATATATGAGTTACATCCAAGGCTCCAGTGTGTCTAGGGTTTTCTGAACCTCACTTGATTGTAGAAGTCCCCAAACATTTACGAGATGTTCCTCAAGGCAATAATCAATAGGTTGGTGTGATCTTTTGGTATCGAACATTAAATACTTTATGCAGGCATTGTTACTTAATCATTTAAATTGAAGCCTTGTATTGGGTAGGTTATCGAAAATGACAAGTTCAAAAGTATGATGCATAGAGTGCTTGGCAGCCGTAAGTGTTGGAAATTGAGTTTCTGCTCCGTGTTTCTCCCTTCCAATTATACAGAGAAGTAAACCATCGTAGATGTTTTTCGTATTATACATCAAAAGACATTGAGCTCCAATGGTTTCGAGTTCTTATGTTAGGGAATGGGAGGGACACCTTGAGATTAATTTTTTATATTCATTTTAATATATTTATTATTCCCCAAAGTGTATTCATATTTTGAAAGTGTTGTAGGATAATTGATGAGCTCCAAATTCTTCACGATAATCACCGGGCCGGGTTGATGTGCCCAATTTGAAGGAATCATTGGTAGCAAAAATTGAAGACCTGAACTACCGTTAGGTGGTCGAGTGGTCAACTAAGATTTTTAGATATATTATTAAAGAAGTCTTAAGTTCGGTTTATCTCGACTGTTTATAGGAAATGAGCAAGGCATGAGTTGCCATTTAGTCCTTTGGACCTAAAATAGGCAATATATTCAGCAAAATGGGTTCCTCTGTGTATCGGTGGATGGCCAAACCGAGCAAGGCATGAGTTATCACTTGGTCATCCATTATTATTATTATTTTGTATAGTATTAATTACTGTTTAAAGTAGTTAAATAAAAAACTAATTTTCTGCACTCGTTTTTAGGGGAAAAAAATTTTCAGTTGACAACGTCAACGCGTTCTCATTTTGACAAACATCTATTAAAGGCTTTGTAAATTGGCTAGGTTTTACTGTAGAGTGTTAATATGTTAGAAATATAACATATCAAAACCCCAGTTCAGTAAACTAAATGTTCAAAAAAGTCTTCAGTCTACTTGCATATCCTTCCAGTGCCACGCGTGATAACTCGGCTCTCGCTGTTGGACCAAATCTATGTAAATCCTGGATGGTATTGACTACAAAGATCAGACCAAAAAGCTTATTGGAGTCTATAAACAGTAAACCATTGCTCACCTAATCCAAATTTAACCTGATTTTATTAATTTGCTGGTCTCCAAATGATCTGACTCTTGTTTCATGATTAATCCAGTCGCCAACTAACATGAGTTTTCACCAAGCCACTCTGTTTCTTATGCTTCTTCGTCTCTGAACAACGACCCCGGGTATTGGCAAGATGGAAGTCATTTCTCACGCTGAAAAAACTGTTGTCAATGATGGCTTAGAATATGATCATGTCAAAGAAATGGATGACTTCAATGAAACAAAAGCTGGAGTGAAAGGCCTTGTTGACTCTGGAGTGGTCAAGCTGCCAAGAATCTTCATCCATCCGCCGGACGACGTGCCAAAGTCATCATCCAAAGCTCATGTTCCAGTGGTCGATCTAAAATGCTTTGAAAGAAGTGATCGAAGACCTTAGATTGTGAAAGCCATACATGATGCAGCGAAAACATGGGGTTTCTTTCAGATGATAAATCATGGAGTTCCAGATGAAGTTATGGATATGCTGTTAGCCTGTATGCATTAGTTCCATGAGCAACCATATGAAGTGAAGTTCAAGTATTAGTCACATGATAGGAGCCAACCAGTGAGATGTTACAGTAATGAATTTCTCAACAAATCAAAACCAGGGAACTGGAGGGACACCTTATTATGTGTGTATTTTGATGAACAATTGGACACAGAAGCCTTGCCTATTGTTTGCAGGTAATTATAGAGATTTATATTAAAAAATGAATAAAAGAACCTAATTAATCCAGGACATGCAACCCAGTTTATGGAACTTTGTTTTTGCAGAGAGCCAATCGGTGAGTTCATGAAGTTCATGTTTCAACTAAAGAAGACATTATATGAGTTACTATCTGAGGCTCTAGGTATAAGCAGTGAGTATCTAGAAAGCATTGAGTGCATGAAAACTGCGTCTCTTTGGTGTAACTATTACCCCATATGCCCTGAGCCAAACTTAACTCTAGGAGTCGCCAACCATTCAGATCCTTCCTTTTTAACCATACTTTTGCAGGACAATATTGGTGGCCTTCAAACTTTTCATGATAACCACTGGGTTGATGTGCCCCATTTGCAGGGATCTCTGCTAGCAAACGTAGGAGACATTTTGCAGGTATGCTTTATTATTAATGAAATAGCATAGCAAGTAAGTATATGATATTCTAAAATTGAAGCCTAAAAGTGTTGTTAATTACTTTGGTATGTGTTTTTGTAGCTGATCAGCAATGATAAATTCAAAAGTGTGATGCATAGAGTGGTGGCCGGATCCAGCTTCATGTTTCTTCCTTCCAGTTACTAGTAACAGCGACAACACATTTGGACCAGTGAAAGAGCTGCTATCTGAAGTCAATCCTCCCATATACAGGGAAATAAGCTATTCTGAATATATTGCCCATTTTAAATCAAAAGGCCATGATGTTACCTCAACCCTGAATGGTTTCAAGCTCTGATTCCCGAGATGGAATTTAAAGCAAAGTGTTAGGAACCTGCTGTTTCGTTAAATCTCTGCTGTTATTTCCACCTGCAGAAACTCACATGCACTACAATTTCCAGCAACAGATCCACTGTCGCAACACAAAACACTCTCAACCAAACATTCTGAAATTGTAGCCACCTGTCCCTTGCTTGTTGTGTAGAAAAGTGCCATTTTATCCTCTCTGTCCACTCTTTTTCCTTCTGCTGAAAAAGCGCACCAGCGGGGTCTCATCACAAAGATTAATAAAACTTATGGCCGTGCCACATAGATTTCAAGTTGAAACCTTTTGGCACTGGCTATGGTTTGTACTTTGTACTAGCTTAAAGCATTTGAGAGACTCTGTTTTTGTAAATTACTAAATTTGGACTTCGTTTAGGTGTTAAAGAAACAATATCTATTAGTAGTAGTAACCTAATCCGTGTCTCTGTATAGGATCTTCAGCTTGGAGCGTGCTTCATAAGTAAATGCCCTGCTGTGATTCTGGGTAATTTTCTGGAGTAATTGCTATTTTCCCCTTAGTTCTCCCTAAATGATTTATTTTTCTTTTGGGGTCATAAATATTCAAAATAAATATATCATAAATAGCTTATTCTCATAAAGATTAAAAATATTTAACTCATCATAAATTTTTTTTTAATCACAACCCTTATCAACGATGGGTCCACATTACAGAATTCAAGGCACATAAAACCATGGTTATTATTATCCTACGATATACGTATCATATAATACGATTCGATACAGATCGTCAACAATACATATCAAAGAATGTATCATAAACCTTTCGATACGTTGATATGTATTCTACGATACAATACGTATCCTTTCGTATCCTTAAAAATATCGATATAAATCTATACGATTTTATTAATTTGGGCCAAAGGCCCAAAAATAATTCAGGTCGAAACCAAGTAACCCAACCCGGTTCACTAAAACCTACTCAAATTTACTCATTTTGCATGAACAAAGTGAAGAGGAACATGTGTTGCCCATTTTGCATGATAATAATAATACAAGTGGAGATATAGATGTTGACATTGATCTTGGAAATGATATGAATGGTTGAGATAAAATAATATAAATTCTTAATTTTGTGATTAATTTTAATTATGTAATATCATAATTTAAAGTGAATAATATCACAAAATTCTTTAATTAATCTTAGAAATGATAATAACTTTTAGAAAATTTTGAATTTTTTTTTTTTTTTTTTGAAAAGGGCGTATCCTATAATATAATAAATATAATACGTGATACACGATTCAAAAAATTAGGTTTTCGATACAAGATGCAATACGCGATTTCAAAACCATGCATAAAACTATTAATCAAGTTACAATGACCCTTTAAGTTTTGGTGCTATTAGACGATCACGATATCATCCTGTTATTTTCCAGTTGCCGCAATAAAGCAAATGACTGTATATACGAAAACAGTAACGAATTTTAACCGCTTGTTAACACCAAAACCTCTTCAAAAACCTGAATCTTTCGCTCAAATACACACCATAGCCAATCAAGTAAAGAAATGTTCCGGTGTAAAAGAACTAGAATGTGTTTATGCCACCATGCTTAAGACCAACGCAAGCCAAGACTGTTTCCTCATAAACCAATTTATCAGTTGTTGTACTTCTGTGTTTCACCGAACAGATCTTGCAGTTTTAGCCTTTACCCAGATGCAGGAACCCAATGTTTTTGTGTACAATGCAGTTATCAGAGGCTTCGTTCATTGTGGCTGCCCAGTTCAAGCTCTAGAAGTTTATATTCATATGTTAAGGGCTAAAGTTTTTCCCACAAGTTATACTTTTCCATCGTTGATAAAAGCTTGTACTTCATTATTGGGTCTCTGTATTGGAGAAGCTGTGCATGGGCAAATCTGGAAGAATGGGTTCGATTCTCATGTGTTTGTCCAGACTGCTTTGATTGATTTTTACTCGAATTCGAATAAAATCTCTAATTCGAGAAGAGTGTTTGATGAAATGCCTGAGAGAGATGTTTTCGCATGGACTACGATGGTTTCAGCTCATCTGCAGGTTGGGGATTTGTGCTCTGCAAGGAGATTGTTTGATGAGATGTCTGAAAGGAACATTCGCACCTGGAATACAATGATTGATGGGTATGCAAGACTGGGAAATGTGGAGGCAGCTGAATTGCTATTTAATGAAATGCCTGCGAGGGATAGAATTTCATGGACGATTATGATCACTTGTTATTCTCAGAACAAGCAGTTTAGAGAAGCTTTAGATATGTTTAATAAGATGAAAAAGAGTGGGATTAGTCCTGACGGAGTTACTATGACTACTGTTATATCGGCTTGCGCCCATCTTGGAGCGCTTGACTTAGGGAAGGAAATTCATCTTTATTTATTGCAGAATGGACTTGATGTTGACGCTTATATAGGGTCCGCATTGATTGATATGTATGCAAAGTGTGGGAGCTTAGATAGGTCCCTTTTAGTGTTCTTCAAATTGAAAGAGAAAAATCTCTTCTGTTGGAGTTCAGTAATAGAAGGTCTTGCGGTCCATGGTTTTGCAAATGAAGCACTGGCAATGCTTGGTAGGATGGAGAGGGAAAAAATAAAACCGAATGGTGTTACTTTTATTAGTGTTTTAAGTGCTTGTACTCATGCTGGGCTTGTTGAAGAAGGCCGTCGGAGGTTTCAGAGCATGATCAATGAATATTCCATAGCTCCTGAAGCTGAGCACTATGGATGCATGGTTGGTCTGTTGGGCAAAGCTGGCTTGCTTGAAGAGGCATTAGAACTAATAAGAAGCATGAAATTTCAACCAAATGCAGTTATCTGGGGTGCCCTGTTGGGTGGGTGCAAGCTTCATAGGAACTTGGAGATTGCTCATCTTGCTGTTAAGGAATTAACAATTCTGGAGCCAAACAATAGTGGGTATTACATGCTTTTGCTTAACATGTATGCTGAATTGAATAGATGGGCTGAGGTCATGAAAATAAGGTTGGCCATGCAGGAACTAGGGGTCGAAAAGAGATGTCCTGGTTCAAGCTGGATTGAAATTGAAAGGAAAATATATCAGTTCGCTGCATCTGATAAATCTCACCTAGCCTCTGATAGGATTTACTTGTTGTTGGTTGAATTAGATGGACAACTGAAGCTAGCTGGTTATGTACCAGACCTCGGGTCTATATTATAGCAATTACCTGCACTGAATCCAGGTTTTTCTTTTCTTGCATGATTGAGGCCTTGAATTTCCTGTGGTCTGACAGTCAGTGATACATGAAGATGATTGCAGAAAAAAACATAGCTAGGTTGTTGATGCTTTCTGCATATGATAAGCGTGAAATAAATTTAGTATAGTTCTTATACAGATGTCTTCCGCTGACGCTGAGGGATGTCATGAGAAACAATAGAGATAAATTTTATTAATTGTGAATGGTATAATAGTTGCTCATAGCCAATAGTTGCTGAACCATAGTTTAACTTGATGAAATAAGGGCTACGTATATAATTTATTTGATTAACGCACGAACTCAATATTCTAGGAACTAGCAATTTTGCAAATTATTGGCTATGTTTGATGACATAAGATGAATGGGACTCTGCTCTGATAAAGTTAAAATAGCTACTATAATATCAGTCTCTGCAGGTATTGAAGTTGGAGTGCTTGATTTAGTTAAAGGAACATGTTGTGTGATAAATGGATTTCATATTGATGTTTATGCAGAGTCTGCAGTACGTGATATGCATGCTGAGTGTGGAATCTAGATAGGTGCAATTAAAGGTCTTGCCAATGAAATAGTTGCGATCTCGGCAAAATGGAGAGCAGAAAAGATCAAAAGCCAGATGGCGTTTCGTTCTACTAGTGGTCTAAGTGCAAGCACTCATTTAAAGTTTGTCGAACAAGGCTGATGGAGGTCTCTGACCAATATTCCGTATCTTTTGATCAAGTTTAAACACTGTTGGTTCTTGGTTGATCAAATGAATTTCTTGAAGATGGCACCGGAACTGACAAGTCTCAAGAAGCATCAAATTTCTAGCAGGTAAATTAACAGGGGTGTCTTGTTGGGTGGGTATAAAGTTTGATGTGGTGAGGCCATCAAAATCTGGCTGGCCATATTTATCAGTTTGCAGCGTCTTATCCATCTCACCATGCATCTTATGTAATTTACAGTGTCTGGTAAGTTAACAGTGTATGTTACCAGAGTGGGGTCTGTACTTTGGCAGGAAATTGTTGACTTTTGTGATGTACAGTAAACTTATAACTTTATGGGATTGAGCATGTTTCTGTTACGATACATGGATCTCTGTCTATTGCTTGCGGCAGTGAAGCAGAAGCTTGCATTGTTTTCTGTTGTAATGTTCGTAGGATAATATACTTTTTTATTTATTTTTTCAGTTCAGGGCTCTTTGTGGTGATGTAGGTCAAACAAATGCTAAGGCATATATATAGTGATTATTCATGGTTTCAGCCGATGTGAAACTGAACTTTACATGCTGGGCTAAAGGTATATAGGTTTAATCATAATTGCCTTAAAAAGTACATAGTTATCTACTTAAACATTAGCTATTTTGAGTGGTCTATACCTACTACTACAAACCAGTTGAATATCAGCCAATGGGGAAAGAGAGAGAGAACCTTTTCGTGTCTTCAATTTTCCATTGAAAAGTGTAATACAAATAGATGCTTAAGACTTCATTAAACAGCTCTTTTACATTCAAAATCATTTATCCGTATAACATGCTTGTTATAAGCAAGAAAAAAAAAAAAATTCAGCACGAATTTAATTTAACCTAGAAGAGTAACGATGATAAATGATAATATTGGTCAAAATCTGATAAATCGTCCAGCATAAAAGTACAGGATGTTTAACAGAATGACGTTATCAAAATCTAGCACATACTTTGAGCTCAACAGGCTTCAATCAAAATTAACCTGAAAAACCTTCGAAATGTGCCTAGTGCAAAAAACAGAGATTGAAACGGTTGCATAAAGAAGAGAATGATCAGATAGAGCTAATAAAAATACGCCATCATCACGGCAATCAAACCAATAGGGAAACATATTCAATCATCCTTTCATTCTCCCCTAAATAAAACTAAAATGAAAATAAAAACATAAACAAAATGTGCAGTGAAGTGAAGAGAATGATCAGATAGAGCTAATACAAAGGTCGATGCCATCATCCCGGCTATCAAACCAATAGGGAATCATATAATCATCATTTCATTCTCCACATTCATTTATAGAATTCAAATCACATGTTTTGAAAACAATACATCATCTTCAGTGACCAATCTAAAAGTTTTGATTGAACGAGTGAGAAGAAGAGGGACAGCGGCGGTGAACTGAGACCGAAGCCCTAACTGGATGTATTTATAGAGTAGAGAGTCGCGTTCCGCGTGAATTTTCTGTAAGTCCTTTATTTTTCTAGTAATACCTTACATCCCCTACGAAACATAAAATTACATAGAGACCCGCTTCTAACTCCATGGACCATGGAGGGAACAGCCCAGCCCAAAAGGGAGTGTATAATTTTTTGCTCAGCTAAGCCTACTATTGATTGGGAATTATCCACCGACACAAGTTTTTTTAGTTACATTAACTAATAAATTTCTGTTTACTCCATAAATATATACCTTTAATTTTATTATTCTATCTTCTTTAAAGAGAACGTATATTAAATGCAGAGACGTTGATTTTTGTTTTCTAATTTCTACCGATTTGTATTTGTATAGGGTAGTGAATTGCAATTTAAACTAAATATCAAAAGCTGTTGAGGGTCCACTATGATTAAAATATTATATAAATGCTGTAAAGTGCTTGCATTATCCTGGCCTTCTGCTTTAATCATTATCCTTGTTGGAAAATGTTCACCGTTCAAAACTTACTTTTGTACTAAACCACGATTATTTCACTATGTTAATCATGTTGGCTTCTGCAAAGACACTTTAATATCTTGATTAATTACCCATTTTGAAATAAGGATATTTTAGTAATAAAAATATGATAATATTAAATTAAACAATGGATACAGACTGAGTTCAAATTTGTAACTGTAGATAACATAACCCAGCCCGATACAATACAACCACCTCCTCTTCCTCAAGCCGCCATAACAGAGTTCGACTTCGTCAGCTGCCATATATAACCCCAAGGAACTCAGCAAGTTATTTTTGTGTCACTCAGAAATGGCTAATCAATTCGTGAAACGATTATTTCGCAACATTTGTAAGCTTTTCTTTTTTTAAATTTTTTTATTGTTATTTTTTCGTTTCTTAATATCTTGTATTTATCATATATACACTTAATTGTAGATAATAACAGTTTACCTTAATGATTATCACTACTTTATTGGATATTATGATGATTTACGGTAGTGTTTAGAGAGTAGGAAGTTTAAGTGCGCTGTGTAAGAACTATCTGATATGTGTGCAATTCATTTCAAGTGGAACTCGTTAAGTGCTACTGATGTGAAGATTATCTGGCATTGATGATGCTTTTAGAAACTGGAATTGAGTAAAATTTAGAATTTCTTCGGTTTAGGTTTCATTTGTTCATCTGAAAGAGGCTTATTTGTTATTATCTTGTTATGTTGTAGATTATACTAAAAATAAGTTGAAGACACCAGAAGTGCTTACAAGGTCTGTGTATAGTGTTCTTGATTGTTCTCGATCACATTCGTCAGAAGCAGATAAGGTAGAAGGTGATGTGTTGAAAAAGGCCAAGGATGCACCTCAAGTTTCTTCAAGACCTACAGTGGAGAAGAAGACAGAAAATGACTCTGAGCTTGCCAAATACAGCTCTGGTGATGATGATGTCAGTGATAGAAAATGGAAATTAGAGCTTGCTTGGCTCACCAAAGCTGTTGAACCAGCTCTGCAATTGTGTGGGTGGGCTGTTCCATCAGGTCTGTGTATGTTGGTTATGTTCTGTGTGTCATCTAATTTGCAAGGATGATCACATAGGGTCGTCTAATTTGAAAATTAAGAACAAGCCTTTAAGCAAATCCTACCTGAAACTTATACAGTCGCTGTAATTTGGTTAACATCCTTGTGGGAGTGTTCAGGGGTCCTCAACACCACTACTACACTTTCCAGTTGCCTGTGGTTATGGAGGCTGATTCAAAACTCTGACATGCAGGAAACGGAGCTAGCCATAAATCCCCACCAAGCAGTCGATCTGTATCAGAGATCCTTGCAACCATTCAACGGAGTAAGATTGGGATTGAAGATTGGAGTCTGAGTGATCTCACAATCGGCCTATATCTCATTTATCTCCGTCAAGCATCTTTAAATCCATTTGAGGATGTTAAGGGTGTCCAAATTACATCGGAAGCAATTGTAATCATTGAAAACTTTTTATTGAGGATATATCTGAGCTACAAAATATTCATAGTTTTCTAAATATATTTAATTTTTCTTGAATTCAATTTTCAGTCTATTACAACTCAGAATTCTCATTAGGCAATGGCTTTGTAATTTAGGTCCAAGATCTCATATACCATGTCGAGTTGGCAAAAGGCTCTTATAAGGGTGGTGTGTCAGGGCTTGCAAGACATAGCATGCTTCGACAGAGCAATATTTTGAAATTTGAAAAAAATTCCAGTGTGATGAGGCCTGGATATTTTATAGGAATTGATCCTCGTAAGAAGCTTGTAATTTTTGGAATCCGTGGAACTCATACTGTGTACGATCTCATCACTGACATTGTTTCTTCAAATGATGAAGAAGTCACATTTGAAGGTTATTCAACTCACTTTGGTACAGCTGAAGCTGCTCGCTGGTTTCTTAGACATGAGATTGGAACCATAAAGCAGTGCTTGGAGAATCATAAGGTGTTATATAATTTGCTTTGTCTGTTTGTGGATGTCTAAAGAGGATAAAAGAAATTAGAAGTTTGTTTTTATTCTTTTAGTGAGTCTAATTCATCTACAGGGATATAGGTTAAGGCTAGTAGGTCATTCGCTTGGTGGTGCTACTGCTTCTTTACTCGCGATAATGCTCCGTAAAAAGTCGTTCAAAGAGCTGGGGTTTAGCCCTGACATTGTTTCTGCTGTTGGATATGCAACTCCACCTTGTGTCTCCAGAGAAGTTGCTGAAAGTTGTTCAGATTTTGTGACCACTGTGGTGATGCAGGTGGGTAAATGCTGTGCATCTCATTATCTGTTTGTTGTGTCTATTGGAGAGAAGCAACTCTTTTGAACTCTATGTTTGTAAAATGCTTTCCAATGTTGTAGTTTTGTCTTGTTTGATTTGTTGTCACTTTTTCCTGTGGCTTCCTTTTTTAACTTTGCAGGATGATATAATACCTAGACTAAGTATAACTTCCCTGTCAAGGCTGAGGAACGAGATTCTGCAAACTGATTGGTAAGTACAAAGTCATCTGTTTTAGACAATACCTTTCATTTAGGACATGGTGAAAACAAACATAAATATTTTGTGAATAAGCAATTAAGCTTCTAGAAGTAACTGGCAACATATTTAGCATTGATGTTGAGGATTTAGGTGCCAAATTTTGCATTTTGGTTTCCTTAGATTTTAGGCTGTCAGAAGTTGCTAATTTAGGGTTTCAATTATTGAAATTTCAATTACGGAATCTGCAACTAGGTATTATAATATTGTATATCGATAAAATGAAGAATGCATATTGCAATACTAAACTTGGATATGTATATATGCCCACCCCCTATTTCAAATAGATTTTGAGGTTTTCATATAATAATGAGAAAGATATGAATTTGGCCATAAAAGTTATTTTAGCTTATTTTATTGTTAAATTTTACTTTGAATCTCGTCCTGGATAAATACATAATATTCAGATTAATTTTTAGTTTTTAAATGGCTAAAATGCCCTGTTTCCCTTTTTTTTTTTTTCTTTTTTCTTTTTTCTTTTGGCCATACTTTAGAATGATTGATATTATGAATTTTAAGATGTCATTATAGCAGCTGCATCATGAATTCTTATATTTATAAGAAAGGGCATCTGCAGAACTTTGATTGTAATTGTTCAGCCAAACAACTAAACTCTGACTCTGCAAAAATAAAAATTAAAAGCGATAAAAATGAAGGAGAAAGAAAAAAGGACGGAAAAAGAGGCCAACATTTTTTGTACTTGGGAATACACATCATAAAATATCATATCTTGGAAGTTGATTGAGAAAGAAGATAATTTCAGCATTGCATTTGATTTTTACATCAAAATCATAGAACAAAAGTTATACCTTCTTATGCCTGACCACCCTTCACATAGTGGAATTTATTAATCACTTGTGAATGGTTTGAGCATTAAATTTTTGTTCTCATATAGAGTTTGTTGATAAAGTGGAAGATTTTTTGGAACATCATCGTTGGTTTTGCCATTTTGGTACAGGCTAAGTGTCATTGAGAGGGAAGACTGGAAAAATGTCTTAGATATGGTTACAAACGCAAAGCAGATGGTGTCTTCAGTGCAAGATGTAGCTCGAAAACTTGCAGATTATGCAAAGTTCAGATGCAAGAATGATTCTTCTGGTAGGCCCACCTGCTCTCAACTTTGCCGAGTGTTATGTTGTAAAAAGCTTAGTTAATTGCATCTTTAATTCTAATCCTCGTGAATTTTTGTTTTCTTTGAGTATTGTTGAGGATCTGATGTTGCTTTACAATCGATTTCTGTTCTTTTGAAGTTGGATATTGTTTTGAATTTAGATTTTAAAATGATCTGAGGCTGGATTTCCTCTGTCATTATTTAGTACCATCCCACTTTGCGTTTTGCTTTTACATAACTCTTTTTGGCAATATAAGCAGTTGTGCTTTAGAGTCCGCATAGGCTGTAGAAGAGTTGCCTGTTCTGCAATTAGGAATACGTTTTCTTTTTATTCAACACCATGTAAAAGAGATTTCTATATTGTGGTTATAGCATTCATCACAGAGAATGGATTCACTCTAGGTGGATTAGAATTTGGATTGTTCATGTTACTTCTATTTTTCTTTTGCAGATGTTCTCATCAGAAAGGAATCCTCTACTTTTCCTTTCGACTCTTCAACATCAAAATCAACTACAGAGAATGCCGCTGTCCTTAAGAATGAAGAATCTGCCGGTACAGTACCTGAGGAGCTACTTGTACCAGGGACTGTGTACTGTCTAAAGAGAGATTTCGACACTCAGACCAGTGGCAGTGACAAGGAAGGTAGGGAATTTTTCACACTCTGGAAAAGACATCCTGGTGAACATTTCCAGAGGATAGTGCTCTCAGGCAACATAATTTCTGACCACAAATGTGACAACCATTTCCATGCTCTACGAGATGTACTAAAAGGCTTGCCAGGGTCAAGTGATGAATGGATATTCAGATAGCCGAAATCCAAATTGTTCAACATTATTATTCAACATTACGTAAATTAATAAGTTTTGGATCCACGGTCAACATATGAGAGTAGTATTTAACTTTTGCTCAGAAAATCTTGAGAAGCAATATTGCTAATAAGCTTGTGGTCTTGCTCTTAATTTTCTTTTTAGTATTATCTCATTCGTCTTGCATTACATTGGTGACTCATTTCATGACTGGTAAAACCCAGTTCTGAATGAACCTTTTATTCTTCACCGGCATGCAAAAGCCCTAAGTCTTCCAAAGAATCCAGTTAGCATTTGGCTACTTCTTCTTTGTATGTGTAGAAAACAATCAACAAATTTAGTAATGGAGCATTTTCAATTATTGGTGAAGCCTTTTGGCAAATGGCCGCCTCAGCCTTCTTCTTGGTCTCTTGTCTTTACCCAAAGAGGACTGCCATTTTGAGTACACAGAATGTTCGAAAAGTTTAGATAAGCCCCAAAATCAAGTAGTGTTATGTTAGTCGAAAATATTAGAATATAAAAATAGAAATTGCAAGCAAATGGAATTCCCATATATGAGTAAATGATGATGGAGCTCCCCCACCATTACCGACCTTAAAAAAAGTTATGGCTGAGCATTAATTGGCGGTACTCGTTAATTGTGGATTTTGCCATAGCTATAGCCCATCCCATCCCTAGGCTTCTAAAGCATCCAAGGAAAAGTAGATAACAACACTCCACAAAATGGTTATAACAAAACAATTTTATGAGTAAAAAGCTTTGGTGGTTTAATCATGTGTAAATTCCATTGCATTTTTTATCATTTCAAATTATATTTCTTCATAAAGTGAAATCCACAATAAAGTTGTTGCATTGAAATGGCAAATGGAAGCAATTTAACCCACTTGTATTATTTTAGAATATGATATAACTGTTGAGGTTTTTTAGAATATTTTTGTAATCTCCTACTTTTGTCAGTATTAGGATACTCTTGATATTATGTAATCTCCTAATTATGTCAGTATATTGTGTAATCTGTAACTGACATAATTAGGAGATTCAATAGATTGTATTCTACCTATATAAGGATTGTAACTATGTATTGAAAATTAATGAATTAAAAAATTAATTCTTCAAACAAACATGGTATCAGAGCCAAGTTCTCTGATCTAAAGAATTGTTTTTTTTTTTTTTTTTATACACCAAATCCGCTAGGAAATACATCGGCGTGTAATCATCCCTCCAATCGTCGTCAATCCGAGAAGGAGAAAACGACTGCAACCCAAACACCAAATCCAATCAAACCCAACCACCATCTTTAGTTGTAAACAACAAAAATACCCAGAAATTTTTTCCAAACACTCTCAATAGTCTTCAACCCCAGCCGCACATTACCAAACAACCCACAACGAATCTACCCAAGCAACTCACATCACCAAGTTACCCAATCTACACCACCATCAAGCAACCCCCACCAACCAAGCAACCCACTCAATACAAACACGAACAAATCAATCACCATATCACATCTAAAGTCGGAAATCAACCCAAATCAAACCACCATATCAGCAACAATCAATCAAACCCACCATACACAAATCTCCCATATCAAACACCTCCAATCAAAACCAATCACCCAACCACCAACTTTGGCCACTACAAACACCACGATCAATCGAAAAAAAATATCCCTCCATCAATCAAGTCCAGATCCGTGCCAGAGAAGAAAATAAATAATCATCAATACACAACCAAGCCTAGTAACCGTTGTCGTTGCCAACTCAGCTGCGAAAGAACTCGCCGTCACTGATCTGCCATCGACGACATCGATTGGCCACTTCTGAGAAGAGACGCCTCTGCCGGTATCCCAAGCCAATCTGATCCTACTGCCGATTACTGCACCGATCTATTGCCATCTTCCAATCAACGCTAGTTGTCCATTGCTAAGAAGAGACGCAAGTGAGTGAAGTTTTTGTTAAAAAAAAAAAAAAAAAAAAAAAGGATGTGTGGTAAAAATCTTTGCAGAAACCCGCTTCTAAATTTTCTAAACTTCACTGAAACTTCAGCCATGATAGCTCAGAATGAGCGTCAACATGCACAGACGAAACCCAACAAGAAAAGAAGTTCTATTGTTGCTGTTGTGAAAAAGGAAGAAGATGTCATACAATCTTCACCATTTGTAGCCACCGCTGGAAATGATTGTAAGTCTTTAAATATGTGTACATCTGTTTCTAATAGTGCATGGATAGTTGATTCTGGTGCTACCGATCATATGACATTTGATTCTAGGCATGTTTCTAACTTTACAACATCCTCACAAAAATTTGTTTCAACTGCCAATGGTGAGTCCACTTGGGTCATTGGGGAAGGATCATTAACTCTCAAAAACACTTTACACTTAGATTCTGTGTTAGTTGTTCCATCCTTGAATTATAACAAAATAACCAAAGTCTTATCTTGTGTGGTGATTTTTTGGCCTGAATTTTGTGAGTTTAAAAGCATTCAAACAAAGTAGACGATTTGTTGTGGTGTTAAAAGGGCGCAGTTGTATTACTTGGATTTAGAGTCACAAAATTCTACCATGTTAAAGCAAGCTTTGATAATAGATTACTCAAAAAGGGATAAACAGAATCCGGCATTTGGTTATGGCATCGGCGCCTTGGACATGCTTCATTTGGTTACTTAAAGAAACTTTTTCCAAGTTTGTTTGAAAAAAATGATATCAGTAACTTTCGTTGTGATGTTTGTGAACTATCAAAAAGTCATCGAGTCGCATTTCTAACAACATTCAATAAAAGTCCAAATCATTTTATGCTTATACATTCAGATGTCTGGGGGCCATTACAAGTTGCTATTTTAGGTGGATCCCGTTGGTTTGTTACTTTTATTGATGACTGTACAAGGATGACTTGGGTATGTCTAATGAAATCTAAAGGGGAGGTTAATTTGATCTTTTAGAAATTTGACAAAATGGTTCGTACGCAGTATAATGCACAGGTTCAGGTCCTTCAAAGTGACAATGGAGGAGAATATCAAAGTTCGGATCTTCAACAATACTTGGCAACACATGGTATCATTCATCAAACTACTTGTCCCAACACACCCCAACAAAATGGTGTTGCTGAGCGAAAAAATCGGCACTTATTGGAGGTCGTTCATGTCTCATTAATAGAAGCTCACATGTCGTTATCCTTTTGGGGAGAAGCAGTTACTTCTGCAACCTACCTAATCAATCGAGTACCCTCTAGTTCTATTGGGTTTGAGACACCTTTTTAGGCTCTTAGTAAAGCAGTGAATGCTCCAATGGTCCCGAACTTACCGCCTCGTGTTTTTGGCTATATCAGTTTTGTTCACCTCCATAAACATCAACGCAACAAGTTGTCCCTCGTGCATTGAAATATGTTTTCATTGGGTATGATGTTCATCAAAAGGGGTATCGATGTTATCATCCACTAACTCAACAAATGTTTGTAACGATGGATGTTGTTTTCCATAAAGAATTGATGTATTTTTCTTCTGAGTCTGAACTTCAGGGGGAGTATTGTCAAGAAGAAATTCAGACTCTTGACTATGTTGTTCAAGATGGTATTTAAGATATGGGAGACTGTGAGTCACAAATTAGACCTGTTGTTCGACAAGAAGATGAAATGGATGATGAAAATGTGGAGGTGGTATCACACCCGTCCGTAGAACCTTCTCAATTCCAGTCTCTCATTCCTGGTATGTCACAACCATCATTTGTTGAGAATGTTCCTGATTTAGACTTTGAACCAATTGAGTCTGAACCAATTAGGAAACAGTTACCACCGCATAGTAGTAGAGGGATTCCCAAACCAGCATATGAACCAAAGCTATCTAGTAAGGTCAAATACCACATGAGTCATTATGTGTCTACCAATCGTTTGTTAGAATCAAATATGTCATTTGTGAATCAATTATCTACTGTATCTATTCCTAACAGTGTGCAAGAAGCCTTATCTGATCCAAAATGGAAAGCTGTTATGAATGAGGAAATGAAATCGTTATAGAAGAATGAGACTTGGGAACTTGTTGATCGTCCACCGGGAAAGAAGACTGTTGGATGTCGATGGGTTTACATTGTGAAGTATAAAGCTGATGGTACAATTGAGAGATTCAAAGCTAGACTAGTAGCAAAATGGTACACTCAAACCCATGGGATAGACTATACAGAGACATTTGCACTTGTAGCTAAAATCAACACGGTACGTGTTTTATTATCTTTAGTTGCAAACCTTGATTGGCCATTACAACAATTCGATGTGAAGAATGCTTTCCCACATGGAGAATTATCAGAAGAGATATATATGGATCCTCCACCAGGGTGTATTTCACCAGAAAAGCACAACCAAAAGGTATGTAAGTTGAAGAAATCTCTATATGGGTTGAAGCAATCTCCGAGGGCATGGTTTGGGAGGTTTACAAAAGCTATGAAGTCTTTTGGCTACCATCAGAGCAATTCAGATCACACATTGTTCCTAAAAAAATAGCAAGGGAAGATCACTACATTTATTGTATATGTGGATGATATGGTAGTCACTGGAAATGATCAAGAAGAAAGAAAGGCTTTGCAAAAGTACTTGTCAGAAGAATTCAAAATGAAAGACCTAGGTTCTTTGAAATATTTTCTTGGAATCAAAGTGTCTCGATCTAACAAAGGTATCTTTCTATTACAAAGAAAGTATGCCTTAGATGTTTTGCAGGAAACCGGTATGTCAACATGTCAACCAACAGATACACCAATTGAAGAAGGTTTGAAATTTTGTATCAAGACTGATCAAGTACCAATTGACAAAGGGAGATATCAGAGACTTGTGGGAAGATTGATGTACTTGTCACACACTAGGCCAAATCTTGCCTATGCATTAAGTATAATCAGTCAGTTCATGCATAACCCAGGAGAACAACATATGAATGCTGTCACGTGCATTTTGAGATACTTAAAACATGCTCCTGGGAAAGGAATCCTATTTACTAAGAATATGAATTACCAAAATGTGAATGCATATACTGATGTTGATTGGGCTGGAGTAGTGGATGATAGGCAATCTACTTTGGGTTATTTCACTTTTGTAGGAGGTAATCTAGTCACATGGAGAAGCAAAAAACAGAATGTTATGGCACGCTCAATCGCTGAAGCAGAATTTAGGGGAATGGCACTTGGGATTTGTGAAGCTTTGTGGCTACGATTTCTCTTGCAAGATTTGGGCTATCAACCTAATCAACCAATCCAGTTATATTGTGACAATAAAGTAGCATGTGATATTGCTCACAATCCAGTTCAACATGATCGTACGAAACATGTTGAAGTGGATAGATTTTTCATCAAAGAAAAACTGGATGAAAATATTATTGAATTGTCGAAGATTCGATCAAAATATCAATTGGCTGACATTCTTACCAAGGCTGTCTGTAAACATATATTCTCACAAGTTTTAGACAAGTTGGGCATGTGTGACATCTACGCACCAACTTGAGGGGGAGTGTTGAGATTTTCTAGAATATTTTGTAATCTCCTACTTTTGTTAGTATTAAGATACTCTTGATATAATGTAATCTCCTAATTGTGTCACAATATTGTGTAATCTGTAACTGACATAATTAGGATATTCAATGGATTGTATTCTACCTATATAAGGATTGTAACTATGTATTGAAAATTAATGAATTAAAAAACCAATTCTTCAAACAAACAATAACAAATAATATAAATATTTGATATGAAATATAAATAGCATAACCATTGATTGATGTAGTCAAAGTAATATTTTGTTGAGGTTTTTTAGAATATTTTGTAATTCCTACTTTTGTCAGTATTAGGATACTCTTGATATTATGTAATCTCCTAATTATGTCAGTATATTGTGTACTGTAACTGACATAATTAGGAGATTAATAGATTGTATTCTACCTATATAAGGATTGTAACTATGTATTGAAAATTAATGAATTAAAAAATAATTCTTCAAACAAACATGTATCAGAGCCAAGTTCTCTGATCTAAAGAATTGTTTTTTTTTTTTTTTTATACACAAATCCGCTAGGAAATACATCGGCGTGTAATCATCCCCCAATCGTCGTCAATCCGAGAAGGAGAAAACGACTGCAACCCAAACACCAAATCCAATCAAACCCAACCACCATCTTTAGTTGTAAACAACAAAAATACCCAGAAATTTTTTCCAAACACTCTCAATAGTCTTCAACCCAGCGCACATTACAAAAACCCACAACGAATCTACCCAAGCAACTCACATCACCAAGTTACCCAATCTACACCACCATCAAGCAACCCCCACCAACCAAGCAACCCACTCAATACAAACACGAACAAATCAATCACCATATCACATCTAAAGTCGAAATCAACCCAAATCAAACCACCATATCAGCAAAATCAATCAAACCCACCAACACAAATCTCCCATATCAAACACCTCCAATCAAAACCAATCACAACCACCAACTTTGGCCACTACAAACACCACGATCAATCGAAAAAAAATATCCCTCCATCAATCAAGTCCAGATCCGTGCCAGAGAGAAAATAAATATAATCAATACAAACCAAGCCTAGTAACGTGTCGTTGCCAACTCAGCTGCGAAAGAACTCGCCGTCACTGATCTGCCATCGACGACATCGATTGGCCACTTCTGAGAAGAGACGCCTCTGCCGGTATCCCAAGCCAATCTGATCCTACTGCCGATTACTGCACCGATCTATTGCCATCTTCCAATCAACGCTAGTTGTCCATTGCTAAGAAGAGACGCAAGTGAGTGAGTTTTTGTAAAAAAAAAAAAAAAAAAAAAAGGATGTGTGGTAAAAATCTTTGCAGAAAACCCGCTTCTAAATTTTCTAAACTTCACTGAAACTTCAGCCATGATAGCTCAGAATGAGCGTCAACATGCACAGACGAAACCCAACAAGAAAAAGTTCTATTGTTGCTGTTGTGAAAAAGGAAGAAGATGTCATACAATCTTCACCATTTGTAGCCACCGCTGGAATGATTGTAAGTCTTTAAATAGTGTACATGTTTTCTAATAGTGCATGGATAGTTGATCTGGTGCTACCGATCATATGACATTTGATTCTAGGCATGTTTCTAACTTTACAACATCCTCACAAAAATTGTGTTTCAACTGCCAATGGTGAGTCCACTTGGGTCATTGGGGAAGGATCATTAACTCTCAAAAACACTTTACACTTAGATTCTGTGTTAGTTGTTCCATCCTTGAATTATAACAAAATAACCAAAGTCTTATCTTGTGTGGTGATTTTTTGGCCTGAATTTTGTGAGTTTAAAAGCATCAAACAAGTAGACGATTTGTTGTGGTGTTAAAAGGGCGCAGTGTATTAATTGGATTTAGAGTCACAAAATTCTACCATGTTAAAGCAAGCTTTGATAATAGATTACTCAAAAAGGGATAAACAGAATCCGGCATTTGGTTATGGCATCGGCGCCTTGGACATGCTTCATTTGGTTACTTAAAGAAACTTTTTCCAAGTTTGTTTGAAAAAAATGATATCAGTAACTTTCGTTGTGATGTTTGTGAACTATCAAAAAGTCATCGAGTCGCATTTCTAACAACATTCAATAAAAGTCCAAATCATTTTATGCTTATACATTCAGTGTCTGGGGGCCATTACAAGTTGCTATTTAGGTGGATCCGTTGGTTTGTTATTATTGATGACTGTACAGGATGACTTGGGTATGTCTAATGAAATCAAAGGGGAGGTTAATTTGATCTTTTAGAATTTGACAAAATGGTTCGTACGCAGTTAATGCACAGGTTCAGGTCTTCAAAGTGACAATGGAGGAGGATATCAAAGTTCGGATCTTCAACAAACTGGCAACACATGGTATATTCATCAAACTACTTGTCCCAACACACCCCAACAAAAAGGTGTGCTGAGCGAAAAAATCGGCACTTATTGGAGGTCGTTCATGTCTCATTAATAGAAGCTCACATGTCGTTATCCTTTTGGGAGAAGCAGTTACTTCTGCAACCTACCTAATCAATCGGTACCCTCTAGTTCTATTGGGTTTGAGACACCTTTTAGGCTCTTATAAGCAGTATTGATATTATGAATTTTAAGATGTCATTATAGCAGCTGCATCATGAATTCTTATATTTATAAGAAAGGGCATCTGCAGAACTTTGATTGTAATTGTTCAGCCAAACAACTAAACTCTGACTCTGCAAAAATAAAAATTAAAAGCGATAAAAATGAAGGAGAAAGAAAAAAGGACGGAAAAAGAGGCCAACATTTTTTGTACTTGGGAATACACATCATAAAATATCATATCTTGGAAGTTGATTGAGAAAGAAGATAATTTCAGCATTGCATTTGATTTTTACATCAAAATCATAGAACAAAAGTTATACCTTCTTATGCCTGACCACCCTTCACATAGTGGAATTTGTTAATCACTTGTGAATGGTTTGAGCATTAAATTTTTGTTCTCATATAGAGTTTGTTGATAAAGTGGAAGATTTTTTGGAACATCATCGTTGGTTTTGCCATTTTGGTACAGGCTAAGTGTCATTGAGAGGGAAGACTGGAAAAATGTCTTAGATATGGTTACAAACGCAAAGCAGATGGTGTCTTCAGTGCAAGATGTAGCTCGAAAACTTGCAGATTATGCAAAGTTCAGATGCAAGAATGATTCTTCTGGTAGGCCCACCTGCTCTCAACTTTGCCGAGTGTTATGTTGTAAAAAGCTTAGTTAATTGCATCTTTAATTCTAATCCTCGTGAATTTTTGTTTTCTTTGAGTATTGTTGAGGATCTGATGTTGCTTTACAATCGATTTCTGTTCTTTTGAAGTTGGATATTGTTTTGAATTTAGATTTTAAAATGATCTGAGGCTGGATTTCCTCTGTCATTATTTAGTACCATCCCACTTTGCGTTTTACTTTTACTTAATTCTTTTTGGCAATATAAGCAGTTATGCTGTTGAGTCCGCATAGGCTGTAGAAGAGTTGCCTGTTCTGCAATTAGGAATACATTTTCTTTTTATTCAACACCATGTAAAAGAGATTTCTATATTTTGCTTATAGCATTCATCACAGAGAATGGATTCACTCTAGGTGGATTAGAATTTGGATTGTTCATGTTACTTCTATTTTTCTTTTGCAGATGTTCTCATCAGAAAGGAATCCTCTACTTTTCCTTTCGACTCTTCAACGTCAAAATCAACTACAGAGAATGCCGCTGTCCTTAAGAATGAAGAATCTGCCGGTACAGTACCTGAGGAGCTACTTGTACCAGGGACTGTGTACTGTCTAAAGAGAGATTTCGACACTCAGACCAGTGGCAGTGACAAGGAAGGTAGGGAATTTTTCACACTCTGGAAAAGACATCCTGGTGAACATTTCCAGAGGATAGTGCTCTCAGGCAACATAATTTCTGACCACAAATGTGACAACCATTTCCATGCTCTACGAGATGTACTAAAAGGCTTGCCAGGGTCAAGTGATGAATGGATATTCAGATAGCCGAAATCCAAATTGTTCAACATTATTATTCAACATTACGTAAATTAATAAGTTTTGGATCCACGGTCAACATATGAGAGTAGTATTTAACTTTTGCTCAGAAAATCTTGAGAAGCAATATTGCTAATAAGCTTGTGGTCTTGCTCTTAATTTTCTTTTTAGTATTATCTCATTCGTCTTGCATTACATTGGTGACTCATTTCATGACTGGTAAAACCCAGTTCTGAATGAACCTTTTATTCTTCACCGGCATGCAAAAGCCCTAAGTCTTCCAAAGAATCCAGTTAGCATTTGGCTACTTCTTCTTTGTATGTGTAGAAAACAGTCAACAAATTTTCACTGTTGATAGTAATGGAGCATTTTGAATTATTGGTGAAGCCTTTTGGCAAATGGCCGCCTCAGCAGCCTTGTTGGTCTCTCGTCTTTACCGAGAGAGGACAGCCATTTTGAGTACACAGAATGTTCGAAAAGTCTAGATAAGCCCCAAAATCAAGTAGTGTTATGTTAGTCGAAAATATTAGAATATAAAAATAGAAATTGCAAGCAAATGGAATTCCCATATATGAGAAAATAATGATGGAGCTCCCCCACCATTACCGACCTTAAAAAAAGTTATGGCTGAGCATTAATTGGCGGTACTCGTTAATTGTGGATTTTGCCATAGCTATAGCCCATCCCATCCCTAGGCTTCTATAGCATCCAAGGAAAAGTAGATAACAACACTCCACAAAATGGTTATAACAAAACAATTTTATGAGTAAAAAGCTTTGGTGGTTTAATCGTGTGTAAATTCCATTGCATTTTTTATCATTTTAAATTATATTTCTTCATAAAGTGAAATCCACAATAAAGTTGTTGCATTGAAATGACAAAATGGAAGCAATTTAACCCATTTGTATTATTTTAGAATATGATATAACAAAATATTTGATATGAAATATAAATAGCATAACCATTGATTGATGTAGTCAAAGTAATATTTTGGGAAGAGTTTGGCAGAAGATGTTAAAAGTGGAAACTTAGCACAAGCAAAGTCGCTCCAAAATGACAAGTTCGTTTCAGAGCTCTTTAGATAATATATCTGTCGCTTGCATTGGGCTGGGCTGGCTTGACCTCATCTATGAATAGGTTTTGGTTAAGCTGAGAGTTTCCTTTCATGATCAATAAGATAGAAAACAAGTTATAATAACCCAAAGGGTTTGCATAATTTTGAATGTTTATGCAAGTAAAATGGGTTCTGATAACCACTCTTGAGTGGCCGAGTGGTTGAATAGAGACTCTTAGGATATTACTTAAGTGATCATAAGTTTGATTCATCTCAATTGCTAATAAGGATGGTCATTGGAGGTTTATTATTAGTTGAGGTGCACGTAAATTAGATCGAACACCCCGGTCATTAAAAATAAAAAAAGGTTCTTATTATGAAGGAATACATACAACATTTTTATAGAATATTGAGTTTGTGATAGACTTGACTTTTGAAAACATTGCCAACCCATTATGAATTATCCCCCAAAGTTTGTCTAATCTTTTTGGTAATTAAGAAAATAATTAATATAATGCACAAGTTTGTTTGGTCGGAGGAAAGTAATGTACTTTAAAAGCAAAGTGGTAAACAAAAGTAATGCAGTGCCAGACAATTCATAAAATGTCTGTATGTGTGAATTTATGCATTCATACACGTGGTGGTGGGGCTGTTATGTCCATTAATTTCTCAATGAATTAGAATTTAGATTTTTGTGTTGTAATTTGCAAGTAAGCAAAGAAAAATTTAACCTAAATTATTAACTTAATCCACTGTGATTATACACATGAAGACGAAGTTGTAGGACCATATATGTATATAGACCAGAAATCGGGTTAAGCTCCCTTAGTCAAATTATCAAGTGATTAATTAACTTGATTTCATTATTTCCCAGGTTGTCTCCACCTGTGATTAATATAAATAATTGAAGTTTAAACCAGTCTTACAAGTCATGTAAAGAATTGGTTACAAGAAAGACAAAACGTCTCTCAATAATCACTATATATCTTCTTGAAATCAATGACAAGCATATTGTCAGATTGTATTGAGTCCCAATATTATGGTTTGAACTTTGAAAACTTGCCCCCTATTCAAAATACATTCAGCATTTATAAAAAGTAGTTTCAACTAATTACACTAATATAATTTAGATTAAAGAAAAGAATATTTATCAATTAACACACTGTTGACAGTGAACCTTTCTGCTAATGTTTCTCAATCATGAAGCAACTCCATTTTCATACTTATATCTGTTGTCGGGATTGAAGTTGATCTTTGAACATCTGTCGTGTGAGTCGCTAATAAGTTGGCATCAACATACTTAATATAAAACTTTGATAAGGACTTGTCTTTCGTCATGAAATATATATATATATATATATATATATTAATTCAAGTATGCATGTTTTCATCATTCTTTATGTTATCAAAACTATAGATGTTTTTATCATTTTATTTACTCTTTCTAGAGATTATAATTAGTATTAATTGAATTGTTAGATACCTTAAGAAAACAGAATTCTGTGATTAAACTAGGTTTTTTTCTAGATTGTGAGATCGAACAAATTAATAATATGTACGTATAAAGAAACCAACCCTAGATATCTACAATCATCCATACACGTGCAATGGCCCCATATGCAACTTTGGTGTCGGCTTGACTGGTCTTATACATGCTACCATCATTCATTTAATTAACTCCATAGTCAAGCTTAATTAATTTAACTCTTTCTCTCCAAAATTAACATGCGTACGTGTTAACCTAGCAAAGACAATTAAGGCATGCTTTCCTTTTCCCAGAAACGGTGCATAATTCTTGTATCTATATATAGAAATTTTCAAAATTAAGCATGTCTATATTATAGGGCTTGAATTTGAATGAATTTGTCCCAGCAAATGGTGCCTTAAACCGACCGATTAGACACACTCTTGAATTTGAAGTAAGACCGTAAATGTGTCATATAGCTTCATAATTGGCCAATAAACTTTATACTAAAAAAAAAAAAAAAAATTATAGTAAATTGGAAGACAAGATTACTTGACCACAGTCTTGTAAGTTTGTTAGTAATTTTGTGAGAGACATTTTTTGGCTGTATCTAATCCGAAACCCTAAAAACAATTAAACTTAAAAGAAACCAAAACTATGACTCTTATTTTATCGTGTTGTATTAAGAGATTAAAGTACAAGTTGATAGCTGGTAGTGACGTGGACATCGGCTCTCATGGGACCCCAACGTGTAAATAAATAGTGCCACTCGTGCGGCGTGGCGTCACTGACTTGTCTTTTTATTGGGCACGTGCACCGCAATCCCGAGGAATTTGAACAATACCTTTTGTTATTAATTTATATTTGGCCTTTGTTTAATTTTGTTATTGCTTCCACAATTGAACCTCCTGATCCTAATCCTAATCCTACTGTTGATTCTTCACTAATTTATGAAACCCTAGCTGTAATTAAGTGTTTGATTCGTTTTACTGACAAATGATATAATTAATATTAAATAACTCACTTTAGCAGAGGATATGAAACATAAAATTTAGAAAACATTAACTATATAATTGGAGGATCATTAAATATTAAGGTAAAACAAATTCGACACTGCTATAAAAGGCCATTAATTATTGGGGGATCTTCTTCTTCTCTAATTCGTCTGCCATCTTCCCACTTAATTATTATATTGAAATCAATCCCAAACAATCATTCAACGGTAAAAGTAATTATAAAATACATATGTTAATAATTTAGACAAAACATTATTCACATTTAATTAATATTCCAATGTATTCATTTTTTAATGAAAATAAACAGAAATTAATTAAGTTAATATTATAGTTGATGAATATATATATATATATATATAGATATATATATATATATAATATATTTTATTAACCTTATAGATAAATTAAGAGTTCAAAGTTGAGAGATCGCAAAAACAAAGGAAGAAGAGTGTGATCTTCTCTTGCATGAATATTTAGGTTGCAGATACTGTCTCTACATTATTTCATATGTGAACATGCTTACCACTTTGAACAATTATTATCGTCATAGTCATAGAAACTATTTAAGTATATGCTTGCGTTGTGGAAGACGCATTTAACAAATTTGAGAATTATAACCAGAAAAAAATATTTATTGGATTTAATTAGGTTAGCTGGTTCGTCCCAAATAATTGTTATCTAAAAGGCAACCTGCAGTTGATTTTTAATTTCGTCTATAATTGTTCAAATGATGGATGAAAATGTTTGATATATATCCTTTAATTAAACCACAAAAAAATTAATATTAAAGTGGTCCGTCCCATTGGTGATCCACTCGAGGTCATGTGAGCTTGCACTTGCTATAGTGGAGATGTTCATACTTCATATATGGGAAAGAACTCACAACACGACACTTCAAAAGTATATCTTCTATTCATCTGCCTCTTCCTCTTAACATCATTCGAAAGTAATTATATTTTATTTTGTTCACAACATCCAAACATAACAATACCTAAATTAAGGGTGATGAACTAATTAATATGGATCATACGGTTAAGGTATGAACATGACCAAGTCTTTACCAACGTCGATTATTCAAATTATAATTCAGTGTTTTAACTATGTAAGAGGGTTGTCAGGAACAGCATCAAAAAGAAAAAAAAAAAAAAATAGTGCTCATCTTTGTGATACTTTATATCAATAAATGAGGATGTAAACTATCGATTTTGATTCATTCCAAATCTAGAGAACTTCTGTGTGGTTTGGATATTGGTGATAGGAGAGATGATGATGTGAATTGTATATGCAGATGAAGAAGAATTATTCAGGTAGGTCTAGTTCTGAAAAGAAATGTAATAAATTAAAGTAAAAGTCCCTTGGAACACCAAAAGGGCTTATTGTTAAGTCTCATCGATCGATAAGAAGGAAGGGCTGCTTGGAGTTTTTATATATATATTTTACATATGCAAATTAGTTTACGGTGTGCTCCTTTTAAGATTAGTTGAACCCCTCCT